CATCCCGTTTCAATGCTTGGCCACTCTCACGGTRAAGAATTTCTTCCATTTTGGGATTTCCACATTCCACTGATCGTGTTTATTGTCTCACACCTTTTCACTCACCAACATCCAGTGCCCTCTCTCCTCTAGAAAAGCTGCCCTCAAAAAGTTGCCCTCAAAAATCTATCTTCATAAAAAATGGGAAACAGAACTGGCTTTTAAGACACAACTAAGCAAGATGGAAGCGGTGGTCCTCGATTTTAATTAACAGACTTTTGGTTACAAGTTTCACTTTGGAAAGAAAAGACACCAGCTTAGAGCACCCTCCGCTCTGCTTGCTCAAGCTGCTCAGCATCCACGGTTATCCACCAGTTAGGGWAGTAGATCCAATTGTTCCAACAATCCAGACACAGAAATGCTTCAAATCCAGCAAGACTCAGGTGTGAAGTGAGCGCCGTCCTGCTCGCCCCTACCGACGTTGGGAGTTCAGAGTATGCACAGATGGAGACTTACACATTTGGAAAACTTTAAAACTGGAACTGTGGCACATCTGGAGGCAGGAGCGGGGGGTGGCAGCTCAGAGGCGCGGTTTGGGATTTGGAAGCCAGCTGCTGCTCTAAATGCAGAAGCCTCATCTTGCCTTTAGCTTTAGCTTGGGATCTCCTACTCAGAAATCAGATTTTAAGTGGTATTTGTGCAGTTACCCTTGTTCTACACACTTTGATGATGAAATGATGCAGGCAACAAATCAGACAAATGGCACAGGTGAACAGGACGGCACAGCACATCTTTGCCTACTCTTAAATAAAACTTTTCCATTCAGATCTTTCCCATCTTCGTATCAGATGACTCTAGAACTTGTTTTACCCAGAAACTGGGATTCAAGGCCTCCTCTAATTGCAGATCAGATCCAATTGATCTCCACGCTAAGGCAATCATGCCCTAATTTGTAATTATGTATTGCCGTGGAGTCCAAAATCTCCAACTCAAGACGCGATTGGTGCTAGATGTTGCACACACACTGCTGAAGTCCCAGTCCTGAGAAACAGATTCCTTCATTCAGCTCCAGCTAAGGGTCTAAGCTTAAAAACAGCAAATCTTGACAGAGAGAGTGTGTTGGGACCGTGCTTATTTGGGAAACAAAACAAAATATTTCTGCAGTACGACCCACACCCCATAACGTGTCAGTTACTTTCCGTGCATACTTAGCGAGATGCAGTTTGCAGCCCCACGGGCTGGAAATAAGTGAAATAATGTTCTGTAGACTTCATAATTTATTACCACCATAAAAGAAGAGGAAACCTTAATGCTTTGAAAAGCAGAGCTGTTACACGTTGTTGTAATGATACGACATGTATCTGTGCAGCTGAAGAACCCAGTGACCCACAGGCTTCTGGAGAGGAAAGAGCTTTTCACTCCTATCAGAAACTCGAAGAAGATAAAGTCATTATGTAGGCTGATTGGAATAATGATGCAAGGTTAACACTCAGACTTAAGTATTTCCAGACACATTTTCCCTGTTTGGCAGGAAACTTGTTTTGTAAGACATAGAATTGTCCTAATATAACAGCATAGCAACTGCAACTTTAAACCAGAACAAGCCAGCTAATGGACTGCTAGGGGACTTTTGCTGTATAACAGCATTTAGATGCACATATCTAAAAAAACAGGTGGATAATCCAAATGTTCAGTTACTAGGACACTAACAGTTATGTCCATGGCAATTTTGTTTCTGTTCTTTAAACAAATCATCACTTGCAAGCACTAATGTTAAAACCAGAAAGCCAGTCTAGTACACAGTGGCTATAAATGCCAAATCAATTTTCAGCAGATAATAAAGTCCATGTTTTACAATCAGCAATGCACTGTTTTACTACCCAAAATGTAAGCTAATAATATATAGCTCTGCTAAATGGAAAATGCAGATATGCTGTTAAGAAACAGGCTGGCTGTGAGATGATGGATCATTTCTGCTGGGACCTTCTTAAAGCTATGTGCAAATGTTTTGAAAATATCACATGATGTGGCCATGTGTTAAAAATTACAGCCAGTTAAGTTCTCTGCTAAGAAAAATATGTGGGCAATTTATGAAATGCACTCCAGGATGGAGATATCTTAAGTAAAACCAGATTTTGAAAACAAACCCATTTTTTTGAAACATGAACTTTTAAAAAAAAAAAGCGCAGCCACATCTGGAGAGCAGAAGTAAAGAAAGGGTGGTCTGACCTAATACCAGGCCATCTTCTGAAAGAGCAGCATTATTTCTGGGCTACAATGACTGTGATCACTGATTGTCCTTTTAAGGAAACCATGCTGAATACTGCCACGGGCAATAATAAAGCATTTTGTAGGCCAACATCTGTTCTTTGAAAGTACGATAAAACGACTGATAGATTTGTAATGTTTCATAAATAAAGTCCGGAATGAGCAGTTCTAAATAAATAAATAAACACAGAGTCATCAGACAAATTGGTATAAGGTATTAGATTTGAGCACTGTTCCCCCAACATCAATTATTTAGAGCTAAGCACTTCCTAGAGTTCACCGAATAGGATGGGGAAAATGGTTAACTTGGTTCCTGGGAGCCTCCTGTTAACCAGATTATCTTCCCATGGACTTTCTCCGAGTTGCAGTCGTGCCTGCAAAGAAATGGGAATGGCTTTTACAGCGTTTCATTAGCAGCTCTCTGTGCTGCAGCCTTTGAGTTACAGGGAAGTGAGGAGGTTGGTAGCCAGTCACAATTATAACAGTACGAACAGTTTGTCTTTGAAGAGCAAATTTATTTTGTGTAAAAGTGTTATCGCTACACATAAAGCAGAACCCGCTTTTATTACTTCCTGCTCTGTCTCCAAAATAAGGAGGACTGGGGATCTCAGAATTACTAAAGGGCCGCTTCTGAATTCAAGACTTCACACATACACAAAAGGCACTGACATAATATCAGATTACATCAAAAATACACATCCTTTTAATCTTCTGTACATAATGTGCTTACTTTAAAAATACAAAATCTGCCCCAGATGGCTAATAATGCCCATTTGAAAAAAAGCAACACCACAATATTAAAGGGCTAAAATATGCTGCGAACAGATTGAGAGGCAGTTCATCCTAGAGGAGAGTAAAAAAGTGCAGATGGGTGTCAAAAATAGCCAAGTGTCAGATCTGTTCAAGTATCTCCATTCTGGCACATGCTCCCAGTCACAGCTGTTAGTGTATTCTCTATATCCAAGTGCAAGGTTTTCTAACACTCYGAGCTGACATTAAAACACACTTCTTGCTTGCTTCTGCCTTAAGAGAAGGCTGGAAATTAAAGATTTATTTAATGGTAAAGCTTAACGAGTATTGATAAGGGTACACATACTCAAGTGTAGCACATGCCATTTTGATTAAAGATGCATGAAATTTTAACCTGCAGGTAGATTAAGTAATCTAAATGCCAAAGGCTTAATAGCTTTTCAAAAAACTCCACCTCAGGCATTCCAATATTGTTTGCTAATATCCCCAAATAACACATACAAGGATCAAAAACTGATAAGACTGGATAACTTCAGCACATTTAAATATCTTAACAGAACACAGGCAGAAAAGCACACGAGGAGAATAGCTTCATACAAAATGTGAGGAAAATGCAAATAACGCAGATTTTGCTAAATTAATGAAGCGCCATTATGTTTCTAATGAACGTCCCATCCCCAGGAACATAATGCATGCAAATCAAACGTTCAGTTTAAAGGGTTAAATTGACCTTTCCTAGTCCTCAGTTGTTATCTATGCAAATTAATTTGCCCATATTTCAACCACAGAAATCCTCTTAGCCTTGCGCTTTGAGCAAACAGAGCGCACGTTCTGCTACGAGCAGGGAGGGGATCAGCAAACACCCCAGCGAGGCAGCCGGACCACGCGGAGAAATCCTACAGGGGGAACATTCCTCCAACAACTGGCACTACCTACATGTAACTGCGGCTGCAGCAAACTGGCAGATCCTGTTTCAAAACACCATCTGCGAGGTGTGCAGACTCGCTGTGATCAGGCACAGCCTCTTCTGCCCGTCCTACCCAAATAATCCACACRAACCAGCCAGCTGTAGGATCTCTGGCTCTGTGTTGTTTTTTCCTTTTTTTTTTTTTTTTTTTTTTGGTTATCTGCAGACACAGGCAGTAATAATCAGGCACATGGCTCTGTTCAGTCTTACCAAGGGGAAAAAAAAATAAGACAAACAAAACACAGCAAATTCACTCCACTCTGCCGTGGTCGAGTCGAGCATCTCACAAAACCCCTCAGACAAATGARCGGCTGCAGAAGCGCCGCTTGCGTTGGCGAGAACACTTATCAATTAGACAAGTGAGCTAAAGATCCAAGGACAATATTTTTGTGAGGAAACCAACSTATTAAAATTTCCAGCTCTGCAGCGATTTCTCTAATTCAGCAGATTTTTTTTTTCTGGTTTTATTTTCTATTTGCATATTTTGACGATTTCTCTGCTGACAGCTAAGGACTGCCATTTAGGACAATGCTGGAATGGTTTGATGTATAAATCACCTTCTCTTCCCTGGCATAAACAGCCTCTCAAGGCGAGAATTTCAGCCGATCGGTGAACGCTGCGAACGATCCCTACCCATCAAATGTTTGCAGACACAAGGTACAGCTGACAGTCATGAAAGGCAGCCCCAAGCCCTATTTCTCCGCACTAAAATTACACCGGTGCAGAGCCATGCCCCTCCAAATAAGGTGACTTTTTGCTATTTCTATCCCTTTTCATCGAAACCTCCAGTCCTGCTGCAAGTATCATCTTTGGCAGCTTCCTCAGACAAATTCCCCTCCCCCAGACATACACACAACAGAATTAGCATCCCCGATCGTGCCATATCCCTATCAGCTTGCAAATCCCCATCTATATCTCATAAAAAAAAAAAAAGGAGAAAAAAAAAAAAAAAGGCAAAAAAAAGAAACCCAATCTCTGAAAACAATTAGCGTTTCCTCATTTAAAGCCAGAAAGAGCTGCAAGGATTTTAACTCACCAGGCATCCTCGGCTAAAATATAGCCCACTGTAAATGGCTCTGCGCTGCGAGCGAGCGTATTTCGGGCTCAGCGCCTCCTGTTCTGGAATGAGCGCGGGGAGGCGAGCGGGGCCATCAGCGCTGGCGGTGGCAGCGTCGCTGGAGGCAGGATGCTGGGCGCGTGCGTTTGCCAGGCAAAGACAGATGGAGAGCTGACACTCTGTATTGCACTTGGAGCAGAAATGTGAATGATGACAGGAGCACATGTGGCCTTGAACCCAGCCCTGTCTCTTCAGGCAGAACAATGACAGGGATGTGTGTGCAAATTATCACAACCCCAGCTCCCCTCGCTGACTCCTTTTACTCTACCTTTCACACCAAGTTCCAGATGACCAAAGAATAGAAAGTAGGATGCGGAGCGATAAGCTAAAAACGCTGCATTATTCATTTTTTTTTCCTTAAAAGTTAACCCTTTCCTCCRCTGAAAGCAATTAAGGAAACCGGCTTCGAGCCGGCTCCGCTCCCCTCCAAAAGTGGAAACCAATTCATTCTTTATTTTAACAGACATAATTCTGGACTCCGTGGGACTACGTTTGTTTATTTAGCTGGAAATTCAAGACGTGCACGGAGAGATACCGGCAGCCCCCCCTCCTCTCCCTCCCGTCCCCACACTTTTTCCATTATTATGCTGTTTTACTAGRGAGAACAGAGTATCAAAATCACTCCCTTTCTCAGGCTCTCTGTAGTGTGTGTAAAATAGAACACACTTAGAAAGCAGAGCACTTTTATTTTACTACAGTGCTTTTTAACCCCCTGGGATGGCTGCATTGATATGTTCCAAACACTCGCAGCTTACTCTCTTCCACCTTGCATGGTGATCCATGGGGGATGAAAACAAAATCTTCCCTGTAAAGCTTTTTCAAAAGCTAAGCAATCATGTCCTCCCAATTTCTGATTTTGCACACCCCTTAAATGTTTATCCTTCACATGAATAACGTATGCCTGGCTGGGTTCAATGCACTCTTCCCTATTAAGCTTTAATGGACACCATGATACATAAAACTACAAGTCTTTGTTATAGTGCTTTATCTAAAGCTGGCTATTTTCTTCTCAGCAGTCCCTCTTTAGTCCTTTGTAAAACATCTTTGCCTCTTAGGAGAAACATATGCCTGACTCACATGCCTTCTGCAGCACGTGCAGCCTTACACCAAATTCCAGACACAGGGGAAAATAGCCTCTTTTTCAAAACTCTCCTCCGATTTAGCCCTTCCACAACCTCCTCTGTTTTAGCGAGCGCTATTTTTCCAGTAATTAGCCCATGGGTTCCCTCTCCGCCTCTGCCTTTTCGGGCTACATTTAAACCCAGGCAGAAAGACGGTCAGAGCTTCCCGAGCTGCCACCCCGTCAGGATGAGTCTCACCCTTTTGTACTTATTTGTGCAACCCTTCGGTTTTGTGCTGTGCCACCGTGTGCCGTTAACGCACAGAAACAACCCCGGCTTCCAGGCCTTCCTCTTCCTTCCTCTAGCTGCTGCGAGGCCCGATAAGGATCTCTTTCGGAAAAGACACATGCGAAAGGAGGCAAAAAATAGCAGCCCTCCCAATGTCCGAACCGAGCGCCTGAATATCTCTGCCTTAAAACAAATGAGTCACCCAACTCCCTCACACATCCTCAGGAACTTTTTAAACGCGGTCTACATGCACTAGGCTTCACTTAAGGCAAGGAGGGCGAGGGGCTCCGGCCATGGGATGGGTGAAGTCATGAGGTGGAAAGCGAGCGGCTCCCGCCGCCTCGGCGCGTCCCGTGGCTCCTCCAGGCAACCTCTCCTTCATCTTCATCAGRTATCTGCTCTAATGAAGTTCCACATAACAGGGTTTTGTGCACCTGAACGCCAAGCCRGAACACCAAGAACCCTTTCCTGACAGAAAGCTTCCCCAAATGGGCAAACACGGAGGAAGGGAAGGGAGAAAACAGCACGGAGAGCCAGTGCCACCAGGGCCTTGGGYGGATTTGGCCTTCTTTTTGTTTTATTATTTGACACCCTATCTAAAACCAGTCAGTKGGCATTGTATTAGCTGCGTTGTTTTTCTTTTTTAATGCTGTGCTCTACATGAAAGGAAAAACATTTTCACAGTGGGAAGCGCAACCTTACATCAACACCGACGCAGCCCGAGTCAGCTTCAGAGCAGCGAGGAACGTGTCAAAGGCAGGACGCGCCTTAATGAAACTGCACAACGCTCACTTTTAAAAGCAGGTCTTAATATCAGTACATTGTAAATCCACAGACCGCGGCTCACGAAATTGAACTTCCATATGCTCTGTGATTATGCATCTTTTTCTGTGTGTAAAAAGCCTTTTTAAGCTGTTATCTGACTACAGTAATTGCCATTTAAATTGATCCACGTCAACAAAACCTGGATCCCTGGAGATTCTCACCTAGAAGGCTGCCTATGGAAGGGGCTAGCAGAATGCCTGTGCATCTGAGACTACTTCAGCATTTTCTCAAGCAGCCAGCTGCATGAATAGTTTTTCCCTCTCATTATTTAATACACTGAGGCAGGCAGGCTGCAACCCATTTGGCAGTCCTCCCTGAATAAAAATCTCTGGATATTTATTCTCTTCCCCCCTCCTTCTTCCCATTTCTAAAGCAGTCACTTAAAGATGGCTATAATACTTTTTGCACTATTTCTGAAAATTTGGTAGGCCAAGATGGACATTCTGTAAAATTCTACGCTTCTCTCATTCTGAAGGAGAAAAGAAAAAAAAATGCAGCCGTTTTAAGGTACTTGCAGTTCTGCTGTAACACGGGAATTTGGATAAGATGTAGCCCCAAAAGGAGAGGGGTGCAAACTGAGTGAAAGATGGGAAACACAAGAAGAAAACCTGCAACCGGTTTTTTTATGCTGCACGTTACACCTTCCAGGGTGACAGCCTAGAAATCAGCTCCTTCTCTGACCAGCATTCAAAGCACCTTATAAATTGATTTTAAGCAATCCTCTACAATGCTTACCCGAAAATAGGCAAAAGARCCTCCAAACCCAGGTATCTGCAAAGGGAAAAGCTTGACGCGTTGATCACATAACCTTGTCACCACATTGGGCAGACGAGAAAAGAGAAATTCCACTTAAGAGCCCAGAGATTGTCTTTTGCTTCAACCGACCTAACTTAATAACGGGGCCTGGAAGCCCCCTGAAACGCATCTGTAGTTAATGAAAGGTCTCTATTAACAGTGAAGGAAGAATTTAACTCCAAGCTTTTCTGTAGGACTTCTCAACTTCGCGCTCTCCTCATAGCGGACTGTTGTGATACATTGTGACTCCACACAGTGGGTATTAAGTGAGTTAATTCAAAGGAGCTGAAACCTCATTGATCCTAATTGAAAGCAATACACCCAACCAAATAGTTTTCTACCCCATCTGCTCTGGCCTGCCACCAGCTATTCAATACAAGAGAATTAATAGTTTCAGATATTCTAACCGACCCAATAAAAGCACTCATTTAAGCAGGCCTGCATTAACAAAGTGAAAAACCAAGGGCAAAACGGGTTCAAATGGAGCATTTTACTCCTAGTTGGCTTTAACAAAGCTGGATAATGCTTATTCTGACTTTTTATGTGCAAGACTTGATAAACTGAATGAGAAGGCACTCAATGATCAGTCAACGAGCATTGATGAATGGTCATTAGGACCCCCCCAATCTCAGGGAAGGCCATCGCACAAAGTGGCGCACCAGCTTGAAAGGGCGGACTCACTAATGTCCAGATTTCCCCGCTTGCTTGTTCCACTTTCACTTTCAGACCACTGGCCACCAAATGAGGCTGACATATTGGAAAATAATCTTTTATGGGCGAGTGGTAAATAAAAATGGAGGCATTAGCTGGGCTTTCAAATTCAAATCTGCGAGTTTTGTCAGCCCCCAAACGTTTTGATTTTCCACCCAGCTGGAAGCTATTAGTGTTTTCTTAAGGCATCCCACTGACAGGGCAAACCCACCTAATGTGTGAGCTGTAGAGCTGATGGGGGGCACGGGAGGCTACTGCTCCAGGCTTTCCTAACTTTATTCAGCTGACTGCAACACCAAAGAGCAGTGAGGGCAACACCTGGGCAAGGGGGGCTCTAATTTCTTGCTGCCAAATGTTTCTTGCTACCTCATGCAGCAATAGTCCTCCTATGATATGTCAACAGCAATGGGTACGTTCAGCGTGACTTCTTGCATGGTGTTGGACATCCCTTGTTTTTACTGTGCTWCCACAAAAGGGCTCCAGTTCTTAAAGGAAGGCCCTTCTTTCTAAACTTCCTTTCTATTTCCTTGCTGGGAAATAGAATTAAAGTATTCCAATAAGATATAGCCTTATCTGTAACGGTAGCTCTTAATACRTGGAACACAAAACATTTGCCAGACAACATTAAACATTTCCCTAAGCATTTCCTTATTGGCAAGGCTTTCTAGACTTCTGAAAGCAGAGAAATGGGACCTTTAAATCATACATAGCTCAATGAAACACACAGTCATTGAGATTATTTACATAAATACTTGGTATTTGAAAGCTGCAGTTATCCATCTGGGGAAGAAATATTCCTGAAAGAAGAGAAACTGTTCATTAYGCTAGTCCTATGTTATTCCTAGTTCTAACTAAAGGAAGACTGGCTTGAATTCCTTGCAGTGAGAAAGCCTTAATCTCTTCTTTGAGGTAGGAAAACTCAGTCATATTGTTTCAACARTAAAATCAGAAATTAGTCATCTGAAAGGATTTCAAGTCATCTCTTTAAGGTAACCTTGGCAATGGAACAGACTTGGCAATCTAGGTGTAGCCTTATTTTCCATTCTTTTTCACCAAAACAAAATAAACCCAAATTCATTATTGTTGAAAGTGTCCAGGAACCTCAATGGCATTTGAGGTGAATTTGAGGTTCAAAACAAGGCAAGTATACAGAAAGATCCATCCAAGGTGAAGGTAGGTTCTACCAAAAATGTAATTTTGCAGAGTAGAAAGGCCAACACAGGCTTCAGTCCTTAAAGGAATGCATGCTGCTTCACTCTAGCTGTAGATTTTACTAGGAGCACTCACATACTCGTACCGTTTTGGTGTTTGTTTCTTTAACTTGAGCTGAGCTAAATGCAACTTTCATTGA